CTATCAATAACAATATCAAGCATGCCTTGATGTAAATGTTTGTTAAAAACGGAAGAAAGCATCAGGTTTGTTTAAGATCTGTAGATGTTGGTATTTTATCGTTATGATGATAAAAAAGTATCTGTTTTGATATGATGAGATGGCAAAGAACTGTGAAAAAGAAATACAACGTTTTAGACGTCAGAGCTAAGATAAAAACATTAATGCATATTATTCTGACTTTAACACCCTAACGACTTTATTACCTATCTTAAGCTAAGGTCCCAATTACGCCGGTGCCCGTCGGGGATGTAGCCCCGGCTGGCCCCGGCCGGGTTCAGGAGTCGAGCGGGCATCGGCTGTCGTGGTCACAATTAAAAGTTTCCTTCAGTAGCATTTTGTTAAAAATTTTGTCACACTCTTTGGTCGGTATCCGGCAGGCACCCGGCAGGTACCCAGCAGATTCTCTGACGATGTCTTGTATTGACCTATACGTAATGCAGAATTCACGTATTTGTTGTGATCATTTGATCTGTGAGGTCACACATTTTACCCGGGTTTACGAAGTACACACCTTTATTCTGTTCATCTGGTCTGTGACGTGAGAAATGTGTCCCGGTGGAATGCCGGCAACCGGAGGGGTACCTCTCGGTGTTCTCACGATGAGGTCACGGCGTCTTTTTGTCAGCGGGGCCCGGGTAGAATTTAACTTAGAATTAAATTCTTATCGGGGCCCCGACGGGCCAAAAAATAGCCCGGTAGCCGCAGGGTGCCCCGCGGGGCCACGTCGGGGTCCCGCCCGAAAGTGGTAAAAAACAGCCCGGGAACTACCCGCCAGGGCCCCTTTTCCCAATTGGGACCTTAGCTTTATAAAGCGTGTGCTTATCAACTTATATCCTTAACGTACAGAACTTCCCTGTTGAAACACCATAAGCTCTACTTGCTGAAAGTAAAAATAAAAACTAATGTCGTCGAAAACAAACGGAAAGCATCACTCAAAATTTTCAGCCTCATCCGGGTCTTCAGCCAGGCCACCAGCCACATCCGGGTCCTCGGCCAGGCCACCATCCACATCCGGGTCCTCCGCCACATCCGGGTCCTCCTCCTCCTGCCTGACCTCGCCCAGCTCTCGCGAGATCTGGTCCAGCTGCTGCCTGGCGGCCGGTCCGTCCTCGCTGCCCGCCTCCAGCGCGTTCTTCACGCCGCTCAGGCGGACCAGGTTGTGGAAGTCGGACCCGGACTCGGACCGACGGTACGCTGCGGCCGTGAGGGCGGACAGGGACTCCTCCTCTGCCAGCAGCGAGGACCGACGCTCTTCCCAGGCGGTTCCTGGGGCGGCGTCCGCGTCCACTTCTCGAGCTAAATATGGTAAGAAAGGACAAGACGGGGAAGAGGTAAGGAACAATGAATTACCTAGTACCAGAAAAAAAGGGGGGGGGATCTTTCCTTGCAATAGTTTTAAGTTTCGTCCCTGAAGATGAACGTGATTCTTTGAAAAATGAAATAAAACAACAAGTATATTTATAAGTCCAGACGAGTTCGTGAAAACACTGTTATTGAATTATAATACTGATTCAAAAGTCTACAGAAACAGTACCGACAGGGTGTTCTAGATAATATCATCACCTCACCTGAGTTCCCTCTACAAGCCTGTGTATCGCCGGGTCCTGTTTAATAAAAAAAAGTAACGATAAGAGTCATCAGTACCTACTCTAGACTGCATGAAAGGTATCATACATGTAAGGTATTACACACAAGCCAACTTAACATCTCAACGAAATCTTGTGCCCATCTACTATTTAATTGCCATCCGTTTGATGAGTCTTTCACCAGACCAACTTTCTTGAGACAATTGCTCAGAATTTTCCAAGGAATTTGCCTTCACTTATAGTTCGCTAGATTGTAGATTATGCACCAGGCTATTATTGCAACTTGCCAAAACAAATAGCAGATAGAATTTATCTCCGCCAGACTCCTTTGCTGGCTGGCCCAGGGGAGTTAGCCGGCCATAGAGGGTCATACGATCCACGGCAAATATATAGGACCCTCTATGACCCGCTAACTCCCCTTGATGACCTTGATCAGCTACCTTCCTTTTTAGGCCTATTTCAGTTATTTATTCGGCCTGCAAGGGGGTCTTGTGGAGTTCCCTACGGTTACAGCCCTGAGTTACAGGTCCCGCAGAACCCCCTACCCCCTCCATCTCCTAGTTCTCCAGAGAAGCACATGACTGACCTGTCTGGCAGATGAAGAACTTCTCCTTGCTACAGTCGTCGCTGTCCCATTTGAAGCCCGTGGCTGCCCACAGCTGGACGCACTGCGCACTCCCGATGTCGCTCGGCTCTCCCGGGGCCCAGTTCTGGTAGCTGCAGCTCGACAGGGAAGTTCCGTCCGCCCACTTCCAGTTGCCGCTACCCTGCAATAGAATAGAACAGGAATGGTGACTCTGGAGAAAACCATTGCAGCGCGCAGATGGGCCTGGTGTGGTCACGTCTTCGCATGCCCTCAGACTTAATAACAAGAGCTGCCCTAACATGGCAACCAACAGGAAAAACAAATAGAGGGCGTCCAAAAGAGACGTGGAGGAGAACAATACAGAGGAACAATACATAATGGATATTGTCTCTGGTTAACTGGTACATTATCATGTCGACTTCTTTCTATTGCCAAAATAATTGGCCTTATCAGAAACTCGCCCGGTGGTTGTCAGGAGGAGGTCTGCCCCCTTGTGGGTAATTTATGGTCCATTAGGAAGGATACCATCACCAATCACCCATGGTGATGTTCGTCCATCGCAGTCAATGGAGGAAACTACAGAACTTCGGACATGTAACGAGGGCACAGAACATCTCAACCCACATCCTGCAAGGAAGGGTCTGTGGCAGTAGGAGTAGAGGGAAGCCGCGTAGAGATGGGTAAATGACATCATAGACTGCACAGGCAGGTCCCTGGCTGACTGCACACAGATGGCCAGGGACAGAACTGGGTGGAGGAAGCTTGTGCTGCACGCTACCACAGTCCCCGATCCTCCAGACGAGAATGTGACAAGGTGAAGAGAAAGGTGAGGAAGGATACAGTAAACATACGACTTGTAGTCTTACCGTGGCATCATGAAGTCCGACCCAGTAGTTCTTGTTGCCTCCGACTTCCTTGATTGTTGTCTGTAGGAAGTTGAGAACTGCCTCACTTTTAACGTCGGCAAGGTGGCCTTTTTCCTGGGTCCTACAGTACTCCTTCGCGTCTGCCACTGTCTTCGGGATGCCGACAACTTTGAAATGCGTCGGAGCTACTTCCTCCTGTACACCTTCATTCGCAAAACAAAACAGTCTTGTTCATTGGACTTAATCCAATTGCGGATGTCCGTGTAGTCTATAGTGGTTGATAGGATCACCATGCCCTGAACGATGCACCACGTACCATTTTCGTTCTCTAGTAAAGCTGAGGTCACATTTCCAAATCGGGTCCCTGTCGGGCTGTTTTCATTAACGAAAAGTCAACAATTTATGTCAAGAATATACGCAGATAGTTCCTATTCTTAATTGTTCAACTTTTTTTGTGCTTTGTTGTCTTTTTTTATCATAATTTTCGTTCCATAAGACTGCCCGGCCCGGACCCGGTTTGGAAATGTGACCCAAGCATAAAAGAGGTAATAATAAGCTATGGACGCAAATTATCACTTTGCTAGCGAAAGCTAGCCTTTATGATTGCGGCTGGTTCTGTATAGAAAAACGACAACCCTTGGGACTTTAGAGGATACTATGTTAGATGTAGTTATTTGATTATAGCCTGAATGGGTTAGGATCGGGCACAGTCCTGGATTGTCTCTGTTTCAAAGAACGAAAATTTGTCTCAGACCAGGCAAGGTGGACTATCTTTAATTGTGTTTGGGCAAACATCTGGTTCTAGACACAGCGCTGCCCAGTGTAGGGCTAGGGGCTTTGTCTGCAAACAAGTTTGCACACCAAGACAAAAGTAAAGTATCACTTCAGCTTTTTGCCCAGTTCTAAGAAGGATGTATGCGTAAATTTGACTCTTACGTATGATCGTGTAAAACATGAGGCCGACTAGGTAGGGCTGGCTTCCCGATGCTGTCCTGGTGGCCGTGAAGCGCCAGTAGCGGCCCGTTCCGGAGAAGCCGCCGAACATCTGCGGTTGGTTCGTCCCTGGCCTGACGCCCGTGGTGGAGTACACCGGCTTCCAAGTCACCTTGTCGTCAGACGCCTCCAGCTTGAAGGCCGTGACGTCGTGCGTGGTGTCCCCATAGTTGGTGATCTGGATCGAAGACAGGGTGTAGACCTTCTGGAAGTCGAAGATGATCCACCAGTTGTTGTGGTTCATGGGCAGGCCTTGCGGGTTCCAGTACGTGTTGGGGTTCCCGTCCACGACTTTGTCAGGCCCGTACTGGGCACCCGGCGAGCCAGCGGAAGTCATGCGCATTGATATGCGCAGAGCCTCGTTGTTAGGTTTTCCTGTCAAGGACGGCATACATTAGAAAAAGGAAATTTGATCTTAGGTCATTTGATTAAGGGGTTATCTGTGTTTAGTTACTAACTCTTCTTTGTTGTGAAATGTAAGATTCACACTAAGAATATCAACGTTCACAAACAACAAAAATTTCTAAATGGAGGAAAGATGGCCATGAATGAGTTAAGAACTTAAAGCAAGTTTTGTTCTCACCTTCAACACCATAAAACAGGAGCCCGGTGACGTATGGCTGCCATCCGGTCGTCGTTTTCGTAACCGTGAACCTCCAGTAGCGTCCGCTGCCGTAAAACCCGCCAAACGGCTGCGGCGTCTTCACACCTGCGCGCACGCTGCCGGTGGAGAACACCTGTGTCCAGGTGGACTTGTCGTCGGACGTCTCCAGCTTGAAGTTAGTGACGTCGTGCGCGGTGTCTCCGATGTTCTGGATCTTGAAGCCGGAGATGGTGTACGTCTTCTGGAAGTCGAAGACGATCCACCAGTTGTTGTGGTTCCTCGGCAGGTTTTCTGGGTTCCAGTACGTGTTGGGGTTTCCGTCCAGCACCGTGGCAGGGCCGCTGTTCGCTCCGTGAGTGCCGGCCGAGGTGATGCTACTGCTGGGCAGGCTCAAAGTCAGCCAGGAACCTAAAAAACAGTTGGTACTTTAGCCAAAAGTGTTACAAGTGTTAAAGAAAATTTAATTGCCAAAGAGTATTACGTTTTTGAACAAGTACGTAAAGTTTGGCCCCCAAAAAGCTAACTGAAAGCTTTAGAGTGCGCATTTAGCCACAGACTCTTTTTGATTTTATCTATCTTTGATCAAAACTGAACATTTTCTTACCTGATCCTTCTCCAACGGCTCCTTCTCCAACGCCCCCTCCAACGCCTGCTCCGGCACCTGCTCCGGCACCTGCTCCCGCACCTGCTCCGGCACCTGCTCCAGCGCCTGCTCCGGCACCTGCTCCGGCACCAGCTCCGGCACCTGCTCCGGCACCTGCTCCGGCACCCGCTCCGGCACCCGCTCCGGCACCCGCTCCGGCACCTGCTCCTCCAATGCCGCTCCTCCGGAAGACCTGGTCCCCAGAGTTGACTCCCCAGACCTGGTTACTGGCGGAACTGACGTACACGGCACTCAGGCTTCCTGGAATCTGCTTCCAGCTGATTCCGGTCGGGTTCCCAGAGGTGATTCCTGGAAAAGACAACGAAGAAAAGGTTGAGCAGTTAGAAAATTTCAAGACGTAAGAACAATTCATCATTATAATCTGGCGGCTGCATTTGAGCAGACGACCGTGAGTTCCCTCCAGTTATTCCTGTTCTGGGCGATGTCAGCAATCCGCTTCGGGGAAAGGTCCGAGTTGTTGTCGCCCAGTAACCGTTGGATGTACTGTAGGTAGGTGTTGGGTTGGCGACCACGTCTCCTTCTACCATGAGGTGGCACAATTAGAGAGTAGTATATCCCTATCTTGTAATCAGCGTTACCTTGATCACACTTAGGGCTAAACTGTTCTTCCATCACTATGTAATATCTTATCTACCTATCCCTCTCCCACTACAAAGTGTCCACAATCGCGCGAGTACCTTGTCGTGCCCAGATCCGGTTGTCTGGACTGACGGCCCACACCACCCCGATGCCCACCGTCAGCTGCTTCACTGCCTGGCCGGGCACGGCTCTCCAGCTCTGCCCGGCCGAGTCCAGGTTCCCGTAAGTCCCGACGCGATACAGGACGGTGTTGTCGGGCCTGACGCCCCAGACTCCCGCCTGGCCCACGGAAACGTACTTCAGAACGCCGTCGATTTGCCTCCAGTCAGTTCCTGGGGGGCAAAACAGATTTGAAGATTTCCTTTGAAAATAATTTTTGCTGCATTACAAACTTTAAGGAGGAATAGCGATAAACCTGAGAGAATCTTGAGCACTCAGTTTACGCGAAGTAATCTAAGTCATAGTGTTTCGTTTACACAAACATGTTGCTAGAAACCAACAGTTTTAGCGTTCAATAAAGTAGCGTGCGTAGTCCAGTGGTTAGCGATCCTTCCTCTGGACTAAGAGGTTGGGAGTTTGAATCCCGGCTGTTGTCGCTAACCCAACATGCACGCTACTGTTTAAGATCGCAGTCCTTAGGACGGAACGTTAAGCCGTGATCCACTGTTCATTGTGCTTGTCGAAAAGAGCTAGGGGAATTTCCCCGGCACAATGAACCTGTAAATACTGTACATAGCGTCTTCTTTGTCACGACCAGTGGAAGATTAGCTCTTCAAGAAGCTAAACTGGTTCGAGATCACTTTTTTTTTCTAAGCCCTACCTGCTAGGTTGCCTGCTGTGATTCCAGTTCGCATCCACACTTGGTTCTGGGAGTTGACTCCCCAGACCTTATTACTTTGGGCGCCACAACTGACCACCTTTAGGGCGCCCCCAATCTGCTGCCAGCCTGTCCCCTTCGGGTTGGAAGAACTGATTCCTGGGAAGGTGCAAGAGATATCGAGGCAGAATGTTTACTATAATACTTGATACTTTATTAGGGCATCCATTAGTTGCTAATGTAGTTAGTAAAAATCAACTAAGTAATATTCTTCCTGGATTCTAACACAAACAACAATGTTACACATACTACACAATCATATAATGACGAATACAGTCATATAAAAACTACAATGCATGATGAAAAAAGTTTTCAATCAAAATGTAAGTACTGATAGTTAAGATGTTTTTTAAGGAAGTTTCAGAAATTTCAATTTCGTGGGGTCGTGTGGCGACTCGGAATCAAGAGGTCACGGGTTCGAGTCCTGATCTTGTGCCTTTGGGAAAGGCATTTTATACGATTTTCCCCACTAGACTCAAGTGAAAGTGAGTATTGTCTGTCCAATATTCGTGTCTATGTGTGGGGGCACAACACAAGCAACAGCTGCCTCTGCCCCGCGTGTATTACATTGTTGCAATTTCAATAGATCAAATCAAAATCGATTGAATTATTGACCATTCGGTTGTGCCCACCTGTCCTAAACCAGATGCCGTCCCCTGAGTTGACTCCCCAGACGGCTCCATTCCCCACGCTGATCTGCTTCAGGCCTCCCTCCACAGGTTCCCAGCCGGACCCCGTCCCGAGCGCGTTGCCGTAGCTGCCGGTCCGGTACCGGATCTGCCCCGCAGCCGTCACGCCCCAAACTCCGGACGCTCCGATGGAGACGAACCGCAGGGAGCCGCTCACAGGTGCCCACGCGGTGCCTGAGAACAGGAAAAGTTCGTAAGATCGCGTACTTCGCTCCTTTTCAGTTAGAAATGGTTGTTTCGTCACTCCAACTTGTCGTGCCTTAGTCTCTAGTAACATGTAATTCAGAGGTAAGTGATTTGGAGTTCTGC